TAATTAAATATTAATTATCGAGAAAATGGAAAATTAACGAGCAATGTGTATTTTAAAAATAATATAATATAAATGATAAATACAAAATTATTTACCGCATACTGTCGCTCGGTCTCTCACCTCATGCTTTTCCGAAGTTCTTTTTCTTCTCTCGTTCCTTTGCTGCATCCACGTAGCACTTACATTCACTCGCGAAAAGATACACAGTTAATTACGATTAGTCTAATACGTGATGATCGCGGGACACTTAGCCCGGCTCTCCCAATCGCGGAACAATCGTATGTATAGCGATAAAGATTTATCATCACGATACAGTTTTGAGTCGTTTATCAAAATTTAATTGATCATTAATTTTGTAATAATCATAATAAATTATGTTTCAATATCAGTCAGGATCGCGTTTAGAGGAAGAATTCGACAATATACGAAGCATTTCGCACCATTACTTCGATACTCGAGTGTCGCCGTGCGAATGATAACAAAGCCATACATATAAACAATAACGCGCTACGTCATCAAAGCCAAACAGCTTGTTATTAATAATAAGTAAAGCCGAAATATTTCACGTCCTATGACGTATATATATACACGGAATATTAAATTATATAAATATTTTCAATTATAGATTATTTATTAATCGTAGATGTGTATCGCGAAGCCTTTCGTTAAGTTAGTTACTCGATCATTCGATTATTTAATTGCACGTTCTTAATGTAAATCATATTTAGATCATCGAACAGTTGAACGATAAAGTATCGAAGGAAGGAAAGAAATATATTTAACTTTAAAATATTTAATTTAAATTTAATCTAAATTTAAATTATTTAATTAAATATTATTAAAAAAATAATTATTGCTCATAAAGAAAGATAGCAACAAAACGATAATTTATTATTTTAGGCTTCTGTCACTAATACTGTTTTTCTTACTTCAATAAATGAAATAAAATTTAATTAAAATTAAAAAAATAAATTACGCAAAATACGCACTTCGAAATTTATCATCGCGATATAATCAATATATGATTTAATGTATGAAAAAGATAATTAATTATTAATCATATTAATCATATCAAATTATTCTCAAATAGTTGTGATAGTTCCCGCGATCGTGTTTGAAAAAGAAATTTGACAGAACGTCTCGCATCACTACTTTTCTGTTCGAGTGTCGTCGCGTGAATGATAAGTATTGTAAGAAAGGAATTTGTGACGTAGCGTCTCTCACTAATATAGTACTATTCAAGTTTCAAGTATCGCCGTGCGAATGTTAACAAAGCCGTAAGCCGTAAGACATAAACAATAGCGCGCCAATGTTTACGCCGAACGCCTTGTTGTTGATAATACGTTGTCGAAAAATTTCATGTCTTATGACATATATTACAATACGCGGAATATTAAATTATATAAGTATTTTAAATTATATGTAGATTAATTATTTATTAATCGATAGATGTATTATGAAGCCTTTATAAGTTAGTTACTCGATCTTGCGATTCGATTATTTAATTACACGTTCTCAATCCGAATCATATTTAGATCGTTGAAAAGTCGAACGATAAAGCACCAAACAACAAAATATATTTAACGTTAAATATTATTTAAAAAATAATTATTGCTCATAAAGAGAGATAGCAACAATTTACGATAATTTATTATATTTTGGACTCCTGTTACTACGTTTCTTACTTGATTAAATGAATAAATTACACGAAATACGTGCTTCAAAATTTATTGTTGCGATATAATTAGATATGATTTAACGTATGTAAAAGATAATTAATTACTAATTATATTAATCATATCAAACTATATATTTCTCGATACTTGTCGCGTTCGCGTTTGAAAAAGAAATTTGACGGAGCGTCTCGCATCAAACTTTCCTACTCGACTGTCGCCGCGTGAATGATAATAGAATCAAGGAATGTAAACAATAGCACTCTAATGTTTACGCCGGCAAAGCCGAACACCTTGTTATTGATAATACATTGCCGAAATATTTCACATCCTATGACGTATATATATACGCGGAATATTAAATTATATAAGTATTTTAAATTATATGTAGATTAATTATTTATTAATCGATAAATATATTATGAAACCTTTTGTTAAGTTAATTACTCGATCCTGCGATTCGATTATTTAATTGCGCGTTCTCAATTCAAACTATATTAAGATCGTCGAGAAATCGAACGATAAAGCACCGGACAAAATACCGGACGCGAAATACACTCTTCGAAATTTATTGTCGCGAGATATATGTAGTTACATATTATTTATGAACGTTAATTATTTATTAATGATATTAATAATATCAAATTATTCTCCGATACTTCTGGCGATTGTGTTTAAAATAAGAATTCGACGGAGCGTCTCGTACCACGACTTTTCTACTCGAGTGTCGTCGTGCGAATGATAAGGGGGTCGAAGCACGTAAACATTAGGCATACTATATGCCATAAAAATCGAACATTGTGTTATTATTAATGTGTTGCCCTTCTTTGTGGTATATATTATATATATATTAATAATGATTTAAATAATGTATACATTTATATCACATTTATGTTATAATTATGATATAACATATAATTATTACGTAACGTTGTTTCCTTTAAGCTTGTATAATTAATGTAATGCGTGTAATGCATCAGTTAAAATATTCCTTTGCAAAAGAATTTTCTAAAAAACTGGTAAAGAATAACGTTATCTTGATGAGATATTAAATTTTACACTCGAGACAGAGAATATATCTAAAAGATTGAAATTAAAAGAAATTTTCTCTCGAAAGAATATTTTGCGCTCGCTACTTCTCATATTGTTTTTATTTAAATTTAATAAAAGCATGCTTTCTTTTCTCGAGCTCTTTCTCGATGAATAAAACTGTGAAAAATTAATTTAATAAAATTGTTATATCTTATTTTCATTATACTGATAATTACTCCTAACAGAAAGCGTATACCAAAGCGTATACCAAATTAAAATATTTTTAAATTTTTAAATAAAAGTAAATAAAAAATCTTGAAGATGTGTATTTTGCTTGCAATTCTAATTAAATGCAATACGAGTTTTCAATCTTCCGATAAAAGTAATGTCATTATAGGAATAAATTAACAACATTTTCTCTCCTAATTCATGAATAATACAATGTTATTTGCTGCAGTTGCAGATTCTGTTTTCTTGTTTCTAATCCGTGTCGTATTCTTCCCAGCTCGTGTAATCCTGTAATTCAATCACTAATCTAACAGCGGAATAGAATGAGGTGCAAATGTGAAAGCCACGTAGCTCGTTCCGCCGTTAACCAGATTAGATCGACCTGTCGCATCTTCTTCAAAAGATTTAATCGCGCGATTATTACTTGCGTCGAGAATAGGAACTTTGATGTCGAAGTGCCGCGTCAGCTAACTTTGTTGCTCATTAATCCCAAAGTTCTAAATAACTTTCGTGCTGTCGCCGACCATTACCGACTATCAAAAAGGTCAATCTGCTGATTGATCACTTACGTCTTTTGTAATTAAGATTCCATTAATATTTTCAGTAAAACATATAATATACCGTTCTTAGCATAATAATTTTCTTTTCTTGTACATGTTTTGAAGTAATGTATACGCGCTAATCGAATGCTACTATAGTTTTTACAATTTTCGATTTAGAAATCGCAAATTATTATTTTCCAACGTTACATTTTTCACTTCATGAAGAATAAATATATAATAATATAAAATATATAAATATATAAGATATCTTTTGTTATGACCGATCACACAATGTTTTTTACGATCCAACTATAAAACTTTAATAAATAATTTCTATTTTTTTCAATGAAAACCAGTGACGATACAAAATGCATTCGATTAAAGACAATAATATAAATGTTTTATTAGTCTTCCTTTATATATTTTTTTTTATATATTTTAATAGAAAAGCAATCAAATAAGAAGATACATATAATAATGGAGCAAATCGCAGAAAACTATAATCGAAAATTAGAGGACTAGAAAAATTAGGAAATTATAAAATTATGGATCTTCTATCATTTTTACCGCTATTTAAACTCAATGTGTGATCGAATTAACGTAAATATTTACTATATCTTTTATTTTACTAAAAACTGTAAAACTATGACAATTATCTTATCGAGATGTGTTAGATTGAGGTAAGGAAAAATAGGAAACGCAATATAAGATTTACACAATGCGGTGTTATGTTTACAGTAACACAAATATATTTCATTTTTATTCGAAAACAACAAACACATCTAGAGATCGCGGCGCAGATTTTGCGCGACCGCAAAACGCATACTATGCAAGTGTCTATATATATATATTTGTGTGTGTTGGACATTCTCTAGTCTCTTTAATACAATAATATAATACATACACTCGCTTAAGTATGTTAATATCATTAATAACCACGATACTGATTTATGTTCGCAAAAACGAACAGCGAAATATATATATATATATAAAGTTTAAGTAAATTTCTAAAAAAACAAATAAGAGTTAAATAATAAATAATTATTATGATTACATATATTCGTTCTGTTGTACATATAGTTTCGGACAAATACATTACAGTCTTTATTTTATTTTCATGTTTTACTTCTTAAATAAAGTTCGCAATTATGTTGTTTATTATGTCGTTGTTTCCTACTCTCTATCTCGCTGTTGGTGTTTGCACACAAATCCGCATGTTATTAATAATTGCGAAGACAAATGAAAAGAGTTAATGGATGATAGTCAATATTGCGATCAATAATGATCCCTTCAATTAATTATCACGAAATAATGCGGCGATAGTACTATCCAATTTGTTATGAGATCTTACATGGAGAATCTCGTAATTGCGATTCTCATATACGATTTATATATAGGGTGTTTTAAATTAAACTGTCCACCTGAGAATACTCTTCTTTTTCTTTAATTTGGAATTTGCAGCCTGCAATGAGTGATAAGACTTTTCGATACACGCAGACAGCCTTGAAATTTCACAAAGTCTCGATAAAAAGATATTCGCTTCGTTCATTATTAAGTATGATTCATTGCCTTCGATGAGTACATGCTTTTATAGGCCATTACATCGTGGCAAGATATCTATCTTGCGGCATTTGGCTATTGAAAGTGTCCGCTAATGACCATTCTATCTTTATTAAGACTTATTTCGATCCTATTTACCACGGACTCTTCGTATCATGGATCGCTGGTCTTCTGCACCATTGATATCATCAACTTTCTGATGATAATCATGATTCTCGGATAAGTGTAATTTATACCATTTATATATCCTTAATACCAGCTATCTTTGATACCGAGAATCCTTACTACTAGGAGATGTTTGGTAATATCCTCGTTACTGTTTAAACATTCGTTCAAAAGAAGAGAGAGACAAAGTGAGCTTGTAATTTGTAAGCTACTTTAAAGACATAAAGTCGTATCTATGGTCCACTTAATTTACTTAAAAAGTCCACTTTAGGATATATTCATAATAGACTCTACAAATTTCGAACATAGTTCACTGTTGCTCCAAATGCGTTTACATCTTTGATACCGCGAACATTTCACGTGTGTGAAATGTATATATTACACTCGGCTAGATTAAATAGGTCTCTCTACTGTCTTTCTATTTTTTTTGTGAGTTTACATCTTGTTTTTGCGTCATCAAACGCTTTCTCAAACTCTCTAACGCTTATAAGATTTCTAAGTACAAGTATAATATAATTAATCTCAATTCTCTCAATGGCCAAGTCAATTGGACTCTAATATGGTATATAGTAATTTTTCTATAGGTACTCCGCTACACTGTTTTTCCAAAGTTCGTATAAACCCTGCTAAAATTTCGCCGATTGTTTTCATCGGCGGGTGACCGTAACCGAAGTGAGACGTATATATTTATAAGATGCCTTTGGACAGAGAAAAATCGTCCCTCTTTACCTTTTTTAATCTTCGTAATACAGTTTATATTAATGAGTTCGAAGTTGTCCTAACGATTAATTTATTATTTATTTATATAACTTTTATACATGGATGAGTATATGAATATGTATGAATTTTAATAATAATGTTTCAATATTGTTATACTCCTGATAAACATAATCCTACTGCGTTCGGTTGGCCACCCATTACTATACTATCATTTAAACTTATCCAAAAATGATATCAAATATTTTTCGACAAATGTATAAGAGAAATTGATGGGTTCTAGAGCTAATTTTAGGTGTGATAACCTGATAAATTAAAAATAAATTTAATGTGCAAAACTTTTAAGGAGTTTAATGCAAATGGAAAGTTAAATTCCACTCTTTTTTATAACGACTTTGTGAATAACATAAATAATTTCAATAAAATTTCATATTTAATATAAAAATATAGATGTAGTCGTGTTAATTAATATGTCAATTAATTTAACATTTAATGCCCGAGAGATGTTGGCAAAGCTAATTGACGTTCCAAATGCAACAATTTAATTATTTTATTTATTTTTCATAAAAAAAGAATTCCAAATATTATTTTATATAACTTCGTAACAAATTTTTTCTATTATATTTGGAAAAAACACATCAGAGAGAGAAAGAGAGAAAGAGAGAGAGAGAGAGAAAGGAGAGATTCTATTTATATTGTCTACAAAAATCGTCATCCTAGAAAGAGAAGAACAAACAAGAATACTTTTGATTCGTTGAGAATTCATTGACGACGGTTTTTATCGTTAAAAGAAATGTTACTTTCAATATCGGAAGTAAATCGTTATAGATAAATCTATCCACTGCTTTGTCTCATAAAAAAGATCTTATTACTATTTGTCTATTTATCTAATTTGAGGAATTGTTTAATTGAGGCCTGTACATTTGGCGCATCGTCAGCGTTAAAATTATTTTTCGGTTGGTTATTAATTTTTACGTGCAATTATTATTTTAAGTCGTCTTTAAAAGTGAGTTTTAATAGCGGAAAAATGTTTGTGCATTCTGTATTTATAATATCCTCGCAATATATTATAAAAAAAGAAACTTACGTGTATAATCGATCGAGAAAAATATTTGTGCTAGCTTAACAACAATCAAGAATCATTAATTAATATATTCAGTGATATAGAAAAGATTCACACACATAAGTAAATGTTTTTGAAATATTTTTAAAATAGCTACACAAAATAGACATTTAAATTGCACGAATAATTACAGACATGTGCGTCAACAATAACCATCATATTAATAACAAATTTCGATACTATCAGGCTCGTAATAGATAATAATTTAATAATTATGCAATGCGCGCTTTAACGATTGTTACATAACGATATATTGCTCTTTGCGACAGAGTCTAAAGATACAATTGCAAATTCCGAATTATCCATAAATTTAAAGCTTGAAAATCCAATAGGTATATTAAATATTCATCTAACTCTCAGCTGACGATTTAGCAGAGATAATATTTTTTGTTAGTTATAAGTATTCTTAAAATCTTTTGCAAGCTACCTTACATAAGATCCGCAACATCTCTTTGGATTCTTGAACTCTTCGATTTGACGTATCTTTAAAAAGTTAAAGTGTGAATATTTCCTGGTTATTTGCGCGCATTTAATAATTCACATTATTTATTCATACATTATCCGCAAATAAATAAATCAAATAAAACGCGTATTATTTAACCATTAAATAAAAAAATAGTAAAAAAATGTATTGATGTTGTATTTTGATTGATTATAAAATGATTATAAAAAATAGGCCTATTGATAAAATATATGATCGTAATTGTGAATTATTTATAACGCCCACACACACACAGATTTCGATACACACAATCTGATTAATCAAGATTATTTAAATCAATTAAAAATTGAAATTATTAATATATTCCATTCCATGAGAAATAATTTTATAATTGATTAAAAAACAAATTCATTAAACTATTGAACTTCCAAGTTTCATATATTCTAACGGTATTATTAATTGCAATTAAAAATCTTATTCCAAAGCATTATTACTCGCTTTGTAATTCTATCTTATCGATCTCAAATTTATCGTAGCCCCAATCTGATCGAATATGAAATCTTGACGATTCTTCGTATTTCTTGTTCAGCAATCTTCTTAATTAGCACAAACCTTGTCTAGAATCAATTATAAATTTCGTTTTCACATACGAAATTTTCTTCGACTCATCAGCAGCCGCTGTTCTCGAAGAACAATCGGCAAAATTGAGAGTCGATATCCTTCTAGATATCGACTCTGGCGAGAAACCACTCAAATCATGATCCAATGGCGAAATTTATTCATTTGACATGAGTTGCACGCTATCATCGGCCGATCGATGGAGTCGTCGAACTTCCGACAAGGAACGAATCGGCGTCGGATGTAGTAACGAGAAAGGATGAGAATGCCGATCTGGAATAAAAAAAATTTCAAGTATTCTAAATTTACAAAAGATGTCATATATTTGATGATTTTCTATATATATTTACATGTTTTATTATAAAAAAAATTTGTATATGTGTGTATATGTAATTATATATAAATATATTCATAAATTATAATGTAATTAAAATTAAATTATATGCAATTATGTAATTATTATTACGATCATATTTATAAATAAGGTTGTTAAATATAATCACACATAGGTTATCATATATTCTTAAAATTATTTTATTGATTCGATGGTATTGATAGAATAGAGAGCTATTGCAATATTTCCAACCGCTTACTAAGAAACTTTAATTTATTCGGGTTAAAAATGGAAAAGGAGAAGCAATGTATATGCGCGAGAAGAAGAAAGAGATATCGCGCGTGTCCATAAGTGCAATGCCAAGGTTGGATGTAAATGTCTGTCGTGAATGGATCGATTTACCGAAGCTCTGATCTATATTTCCATATCCGCGGTATATCGCGCGTTGGTGTAATTTCACCTAGACACGCGGCTAGTTCCTCGCCGATTCAATTAAACAATTTCATTCTCTCACACATATATACATATACGCTCCTTATATGCATATCTTCTTGAATAATTCATAACTATTATTAACTCAAAGGAAACAAATACATTCTAGTCAGTATAATATCCGTAGGTATATTACTAGCGTTCCAATTCTTAGTTAATTGGTTTCCAGTTAACTTTTCAATTTCTAAAGAAAAGATATCGTGTTGCATGTCCTAAGCGTCCTTTTGTTGAGATCCTCACCTCTGATATCGGTCAATGGCTCGCTCCTGGAGAGCTCGTGCTCGTTATTACGATGTGAGGGTGTCTTTAATGGACTTTTAGCTTGTGGTATCGCGTCGTTCTTGAATGGAGTAGTATTCTGATCCTGATGGGGAAACTGAAAGGCTGTGGAATTGGGCCACGAAGCCGGAGGTGGACTGCGTACCAGGTGCTCGTGTACCTGCGCGAGTGTGAGAGGATCCGCGTCGCCCAATTCCTGAAAGCATGTGTGACTATTATTTTAAGATAAATTTGATGAAGATTGTAATCAACTTTATTTCACTCTCAATGAAATTTTTTAAAGCATATAAAATTGTTTAGGATATTAGAATTTGATGATAGAAAAGTGGAGGAAAAATAAAGGTGTGTTATTTCATCTTGTCTAGAAATAAATTTCTAAAATCCAGTTGTATCTCCGAAAATTTGAATTTAGTATCTTACCTGCGACATCAGAATCGCATCGTCAGACTCGGATTCCTCGATCGATTCCACAAGGCTCTCTCGACTTGCTAGTACCTGCATAATTAGAGGAAATTTGCACAAGTGAGTCGATATGTACATTGCAGAGTAAAATGTATAGACATTCAAGAAATAGAAGAGTTTACTGTGTATCTGTGTGTGTGTGTGTTATTATATAATACTTTGTTAATTTTTCTATAACCAGAAAGCTAACAAATTAATTAAAAATATTAAGCTAAAAATTAACTCTTTTTTTGCAACATTAAAGATCCTGATGGGGAAACTGAAAGGCTGTGGAATTGGGCCACGAAGCCGGAGGTGGACTGCGTACCAGGTGCTCGTGTACCTGCGCGAGTGTGAGAGGATCCGCGTCGCCCAATTCCTGAAAGCATGTGTGACTATTATTTTAAGATAAATTTGATGAAGATTGTAATCAACTTTATTTCACTCTCAATGAAATTTTTTAAAGCATATAAAATTGTTTAGGATATTAGAATTTGATGATAGAAAAGTGGAGGAAAAATAAAGGTGTGTTATTTCATCTTGTCTAGAAATAAATTTCTAAAATCCAGTTGTATCTCCGAAAATTTGAATTTAGTATCTTACCTGCGACATCAGAATCGCATCGTCAGACTCGGATTCCTCGATCGATTCCACAAGGCTCTCTCGACTTGCTAGTACCTGCATAATTAGAGGAAATTTGCACAAGTGAGTCGATATGTACATTGCAGAGTAAAATGTATATACATTCAAGAAATAGAAGAGTTTACTGTGTATCTGTGTGTGTGTGTGTGTGTGTGTGTGTGTGTGTGTGTGTGTGTTATTATAATACTTTGTTAATTTTTCTATAATCAGAAAGCTAACAAATTAATTAAAAATATTAAGCTAAAAATTAACTCTTTTTTTGCAACATTAAATTTTAAAGTTAAAGAAAATTGAATTGAAAAATTACAAAGATACTCGCCGCTTCTTAAAATATTCAAAAATTGTTCGAGATCAAAAACTTTTCAAGATTAAAAAATCGTAAAAATCTGATAATATAACATAATAATAATCAGGTCAAACCTGTAGAAAAGGATTGTCCTGACGACTCAGTCTGAGCGCCTCCATGTCCTGATCGATGTTACGCGTTCTACCGGGTGTCAGGGTCAGAATTGAGTGCGAGGGTGACGGCTGACAAGAAACGACAACATCCACCGCTGTCACACTCAAGGTCGACGGAATTCGCGACATCGTGTTGTCGTTCTCCGAGCCGCTCCGACGACAAGCATTGGTAATAATTGCTGCAAGCAATATCGCTTTTATTATCTCGGTTATCTGCGCTTTATGCTTTTTATTAACCATTATGAGATACAAAATATAAATCTTAATCTTTTTATATATGTAATCTATTAACTGAAATTTTGTCTTCTTAATTAAATATATGGAACAAACAATATTAAATTTTATTATTAAATATAATTTATTTTACTCAATTTATATTTATTATATTTTAATTATATATCTATTTAATTTAATTTAATTTAATTTAGAAATATAGGATAAAATAAAGTCATCGAGATTGAAAATAATTGCCGGCCAATTATTATCTTTCGACTTAATGAATGAATAAGTATTGTCATTTAATAGCATCCGATACATTGTGCTATTCTCACATTAATAATTCCGTATTATTTTCTAAATTAATGCAATTAATTAATAAATAATTAAAAAATTAAAAAAACTTCATGGATTTTTGTAGAATGTTATCAAGAATTTTTAGACATCTTTTTTTTTGATAAGAGAATAAAGTGAAGGAATAATATCTTACCAGGAGTTTCCACCCTGGGCGCGCGTTCCATCTCTTCGTCCTCGTTAATCTTCATTCCTATTGTCAGCTTTCTCGATTTGAACAGATTCGTGAGAAAAGCTGCACCTTTACGCTTCATCCGATCATACCTGTGCGCGTTCTCGGACGACACGTGTATCATAATTTATCTGAAACTAAGACATGGCGCAAGTTACAACATTATATAACTTATATATACAATGAAAAATATAACATTATATACTATATCCATAGACAATATACGTGTCCCATAATTCGTCCGGAATTACAACATATATAGTGAAAGATATAACATAATTATTATCAAATGTTAGTGTATAATGTTATATATATATACCAGTTTGCAAAAAGTTTCTAATAAAAAACTTATAAATTTAATTAAAAGGAAACTTTTGAGACCAATATTGTGTAACTTTAATAAAAGCACTGTTGCGATAGAATTGTGACCAAGGTCACAGGGAAAAAATTATAGAGCATCAGGATTGGAAAAATTAATTTCCATATTGTTCATAATGACAAAATATTATTTACAATGACAAAAAAAATATAATAATACTGTAACTTATAACAATTTTATAATTTAAGGACACGTAAGTGCAAACCGGTAGATATGCCGACTTACGCCACTTTCGCTTTCAATCCCTCAATCGTCGCTGTTAAGCATCTCCATGACGATAAGGTATCACTCTGGAATTTTTATCGGGAAGAAAAGCTCGCTCTTATATCCATCAGAAACTAATGAGATAACGATAATGAACGAGCTGTATCGGATCACGTCACCAATATATAAAACTTGGAGGAATTAGAATCGTTGTCAGATTTGTGTTAACTAACGTCGGATTTGCAACCCGAAGAGCAGCATACTGCCAACTGCAGTTGCGGAAGGGTGTGCACCTACTCTCCTGTGCAGAAACTCGCGCAGCTGCAGCTGTCAGTGAATGAACGGAGCTTGCGCGCGAAAGGGGTGGGTAAGAAAGGGAAGGTGGTAGAAAAGACGAGAGTAACGGGGTCCTCAAAGAGCAAAGTGGCATTATTTTTTTTTTTTATTATTCGATGAGCATTTCCATGACCCATATCTCTTTACTTGAATTATGTGAGAAAGCCTGATTTAAAAAGAAGGAAAAAAAAATTAATCTGACCGGATCGCGTAAACTCCAAATTTTTAGCCAAAAGGGTAAAAAATTTTACATTCTTCGATTTTGAGATTTTGGTGTTCGAATAAGTATTAATCGTAAAATCTCGGTTATTCATCAATTATACAAATGTTCTCTTTTAGATATCGGGAAATTATTAAACCATTAATCCTGTTATATAATCAGATGTATAAAATATACGAATGGTTACACTTGAATATTAAAAGGGTACAATATTAAATTTTAATTACTGACTAGAAAAAAAATTCTAAAATACTCTTTCTTTATGTAGCATTAATAAAAGATAAGAGAAAATGTGTGAAATTGTGATACGTCTCCTTTAAGTAAAGAAAATTCGAAAATTAGCACCAAATTTAACAAAATTAATTTCTTCGAGATTTTAAAACAATCTTTTGTATATAGGGTGATTCAAAGAGATGAGTACTTTTCCAGGATTGCGCCACGTCGTGCTCATTCGATCGATTGCACGAGACTCCGTTATACAAGGTGGCTAGAGCACACGTGCTGTTGATACAACATATAGTATTGCGCGCGTGATAGTGTACATAAATTAGTAGAGATTAAATAAAGTATATATATAATGATGAACATAATTATCTATATAAATAGGAAAGTACTGTAACATATAATCAGCAATATATATGCAACATGTTTCTAATTACTCACACTGTCTCTCTCTTTACAAAAATCTTAATAAAATTTTGAATACACTTACTTTCGAAACCAAAGTTTAAAGACATGTATAATTGTCATAACTAAACTCCGATATAAAATATCATTCTTTCAGTTTTTATATAGACAAATTTGCGAATTATAATATAAATTATATGAGAAAACCATTTATCTTTTCGATCAAAGTTTTAGTTAAAATAAATCAAATACATACAACTATATTTTTGGTAAAATAAAGTGCCCTTGTGTGGAACCAACTTAATACTGACAATTTATTATTTATTTACTTGTGCTTGTTTTTGACTAAACAAGTTCAAACGACAAAAGTTTGTAATTAATCAAGAGTCGTATTAAATTTTCACTAAAAAGACGTTGATTTTAAATTCTTCCGAGAAATCTTCAATGACTGAAACAACATGTAGCTGACTAATATATATATATAATATATATAATCAAAATTCAAGCTAAAGCTTAGCAAGCCAAAATTGATTCTTAAAAATTATTTACACCTCGAAATTTAAATAATCGATAGTCGAGCCATTTAATTTCGATGCGTAAACACTGTAATCACCCTACGTATAGCCGTTGAAATACTTATAGCCGTATTTTGGTAAGAGATAAAGCAAAGCTCTCGATCAGTGCTGACATATGCCTTTGTGAATTTAACGGCGAATTACCTGAAAGCTCGTGCACCTGCCGGTGGTACATCTTCGTTTCCGCGACGCGAAAACGAGTGCGTCGCGTCGCGATGCGTCGCGACGCCAACACAACACAAGGGTGCGGCGAACGCGAGAGGGTCTCGAGACCGGCACGCCGGTCCTAGGCCGGAAAATCAAAGGAAGCCGTCTCTTATCAGCGATACGTGTGCGCGCGCATTCGCATTCGCGGGGAAGCATCCCCTCTAAACGAACTCGTCAATTTGGGGGATATATAGGGTGTCTCGGAAATCAAGCGTATCTTCGTAAACATAATAAAAACACAGTAGTTCTTTTTCTTCTGAACGGACATTATCTAATCATCAATTCAACTAATTAATTAATAGATACGTTATCGTAGATCATCAATATGGTTTCGCGAATGAACTTGTTAGAATCGGGTCTACGTAACTTTGTGCGAAAACGTTAATTACGTTAAATTTAAATGGACTATTCCGCATAGAGGCGAGTGAAAAAATAAACAAGCTTGAGGTAGATATGCCGATTTATTCAAAAGATTCGTTCACCTGGAAATTTCGCCAAATTAATTGCGATATTATTTCATAAATTAATGTTTAGCAATACACCTAAATCAACGCGCTAATTACAATGCGCAAAAATAATATTCGTACAGCAAGATTGATTCGCCAAGTATTATTTATCTCCAGATAATTATTCAAATATTTTTCAATAAATAATAAATAAATAAATTTCTCTCTCAACAGATTTCGAATATAAAATATAAAATAAAAAATAAAATACATAAAATATTTTTTCGTTACACATAAAATATAAAATCTCAAA